CGTTCTGTTCTTTGATTCTCAAGGCTGCTACCTTGGGAAACACCGGAAAATCATGCCAACAGCTTTGGAACGTCTAGTTTGGGGTTTTGGTGATGCATCAACTACTCCAGTTTTTTGAAACTCCAATTGGGAAAATAGGCTCTGTCATTTGTTGGGAAAACAGAATGCCACTTCTGCGAACTGCAATGTATGCCAAAGGTAAATCCTTTTTAAACAGTTAAATTTCAGATTCTTGGCTCCATTCATCTCTGATAGAAATGAGTATTTTTAATTAGTATCTCTCTTTGTTTCTAGGTATTGAAATACTGTGCACCTACTGCGGACTGCAGTGATACTTGGCAAGCAACAATGAACCATATTGCCCTTGAAGGTGGATGCTTTGTTCTATCAGCTATCCAATTCTGCCTGAGGAAAGACTATCCACCCCCTCCTGAATATACACTCAGTGGCACGGATGATGATCTCTCACCCGACTCCGTTGCATGTCGTGGTGGCAGTGTCATTATTTCACCGCTGGGAACTGTTCTTGCAGGACCAAACTATGAAGGAGAGGGTCTCATCTCAGCTGATCTAGGTATTCTACCAATGCTCTTACTCTTTACCTGAATCTATATTATCCTAACTTCAACATGATGCTAAACATGCACCTATGTTTCCTTATGATGGAATGATATACAGATCTTGGAGAAATAGCCCGAGCAAAGTTTGATTTTGATGTGGTGGGACATTACTCCAGGCCTGATCTGCTAAGCCTTGTTGTGAAAGATGATCCATTAAGTTCAGTGACATTCAAGTCTGGAAAAAACGAAAACTGAAGCAAGAACCTGGTTGGATCAACAAAGCTCAATTCTGAACCTGTAATGGGAAGTCAGCAGTACTAATAATCAAGAAATTTGTGGAATTTGATCAAAATTCTGCTTCTACTAAAAATAAATAAACGTGCTGTCTTCTACCCTGTACTAAAAACTCTGCAATTTGCGTTCTCCAGTTGTTAATTAATTAGCAATACTTTTCATTATCAATCCACAGAGCAAATGGTTTAATTAACAAGGAGTCTGAGCTGAGACCTGATAATTTGCAAATATGCAAGTTACTCCATTAAGACTTTTTGAGCGTTCTATTCAATAATAATAAGACAAGTCACCTGGGATTTTCCATCCATGCAGTACTAATGCACGATCCACTCTGTCCTTTCCACTTTTGGAGCACAGCCCACAAGGGTTCTCTTTGTACCAATCACATTGGAGAGAGACTTCACATTAGTTCTTTTCCAGTGGCTTTCCAATAACCTAGCTCAGTTGCCCTCCTACTTTGTGAACCATTTGGATATATACTTCCTTCCACGAGAGCACAAAAGAAGAACCATTCATTTTCTGAATTAACGATGATTTGGTTGGTTACAAAAGAAACCAGCACTAATCAGTCAACAAAATCCAGGAAATAAAATCAGTAACAAAATTAAAGACTTCAAAATTGTATGCCCTGTCAAAAGAACTTGCCAGAAGACACTACAGAACTGCAAGAGACGATGAGAATCATAGTACCTGAATGGCTTCTCCAGTACAAGCAAACCAACAAATAAATAACTTAAATTTATCACTTCGTCCCTGTTTGCTTTGCCTTGGGTTAGGGAAGCGAAGGGGTTTGTGCGTATGGGTGAGTGATGTACTGATGTGAGGGTTTGAGTCTGCGAAGTTGGGCGGAGTGAAGGGCGCGTTAGGCTGTTAGTGCCGATCGTGGTTGTAACGTGGCCTCCTAGTGTCCTCGGGAACGCCGGCCGGATTATACTTGATTCGGTTTTCATCCTCACATAAATTATTTCATTAATTAAAACAGAAGGGAGGTTCCACTTCCACGGGTGAAAAGGTAGGCAACTAGTGACAACTTTATGTAAAATATTAAAGGGGGTTTGTTTTGAAATTTCATTAATAATTGTCAAGGGTTTGTTTACATGTTAAAACTCATTAGTTTTCTTATTCCTATTCTCTTCTAATTTTTTTAGTTTCTTACTATTCTTATTTTTCATAGACTAAATTCATTTTCATGAAATTTTTGTCAAGTTCATTTTTCTCTTTTTCCTATTCTCTTCTAATTTTCTTAGTTTCTTACCTTTTTTTATTTTTCATAGACTAAATTCATTCTCATGGAATTTTCGTAATTATCCAAAAGTATATTTTTTAACTCATAAATTCTTCTATTTTATTATAATTCTACTAATTTTGGATTTTAATTTGTACTTAAACTGATTTTTTCATTTAGTTGTAGGTTTATTATATATTAGAAGAATCTCTTATATAAGGTAAATGACCTTGTGCCATTTTTTTTTTCATTTTTATGCTATTAATTTGTATTATATTATATGATGATTAATTTGAAATATTAATTATTTTTATTTTTGTTTCTTGTGTTTTTGTAGGAGAGATTTCTTAACACAATATATGATATGTCATTATACTTTCATTTTCTTGGATTTTTTTTTTTGTGATTTAAAGATGTTTTTCATTTTTTTTCTTAATTTTCTATTTACTTTTTTTTTTGTAGGTGGAAGAACGGATATGCCATTTTAACTCTGTTTTTTTCTTTTTCATTTGTAAATTTTTTTTTTTTTTTATGGGTGTAAATTTTTTATGGATATATTGATTTATGTAATTTATCATTAATTTTTGTATAAAATTATCAATATTATTTTTAATGTATATTAATTTTTAATTAAAAATTTAATTTTTATTATTGAGTTTCAATCACTATATTATTATTGAGTATCAATAATAATGATAATAATAATATATCAATTACTATTATTATGATTATTATATTAAATTTTAATAGTAAACCTGACCCTTCGGGTTAAGTGGCTTTTGCCACGTTTGTAAGGTTCATATCCCCTCCTCAAAGGTAACGGTTCGAGTCGGTCCCATGTCAAAATGTTTATAAAAAATATATATTAAATTTTAATAGTAAAAATTTATTTATTTATTTATTTTGAATCTAACAAGAGTATTAGCGTCAGCTATTAAGTTGACTCTCATTCTAACACAATTCTAATAATATCGGAACTTTAGGTTTAACTGATATCATATACCTGTGTGAGCATATGCGTCAGATTCAGTGGATACAATTATTTTGGATATCTGCATTAGCCTTTTTCGTATTGATGTAAATGTATTTGCAATGTGTTTTTCAATGTCAGAATCAACATCCACATAGTTGACATATTCCTTCTTCTTCTTTTTTTTTTTTTTTTTTTCCGTTTCTCGTCCGGTATCCGGGATTTCACCCCGATTAATCCAGACCCGACTCGCATCGCGCACCTAAAAATGGTGGGTGAGTCTCCCAACGGAAGCTACTGCATGCACAAAGTCTCGAACTTAAGATCTTACTTAAACTGAAACAAACCACTTACCATTTGATTTAACCCTTCGTTGGTGTATTCATTTTTCTATCTACGTCAATTTTCCTTTTATCTACCTCCCTATTTTCTTAGGCAAATGTCTTGTAGTGAATCTTCAAATTGCAAACAACGTTAAGTGAGAACGTACTAGTAGATTGATGTTTGCTTTACTAGTCACATTATATTTTATTATCTGAACATAATTATTAGGCTTATAAATTCTTTGGAGGGCACTTGGCTGATGAAGCACAAACTATTTGAATCGGGTTATGATCTAGATTGGGTATGCTTCGACTTAAATACTTAAAAAATTCAAAAATAAGTCTTTAAGGTAAACAATTGATACTCAAATTAATAATAATTTATAATTTTTAAAGAGAAAATTTCTCAATTATTGTGTATGGAGAGAGATTTGGATGGGTGTTATATATTATCTTGAGAGTGATGGGCATCATGTACCTATAATTTATTGTAACGAGCACTTAATTCATATTAGTCTACATGTTATTATGTGGGCAATGAATACCTTCCTCGATGCCCTTCTGTTAGTGGGTCTCTTATAGGCTTGTGGCCCACTATAATAACTTATTGAATTGGTGTTGGAAGGGTGTCTCAATATCGATAAAGGTGCTTTTTTTCAATCTTGGGTTTTTTCCTAAGAAATTTTCCATCCCGCGTGTTTAAAATTATAGAATAAGAATATAATAAATATATATTTTTATAATTAATATATGTAAAATAGTAATAAAAAATTTAAATTTAATTAATTAATTAAAATTGTTTATATGATAATAATATTAAAATAAAAATTAATTATAAAAAATATATTTATTGTACTTTAATTTATATTTTTAGGATATATGTTAAATAAATCATTTTTTTAATTGATCTTAGATTAAACATTTTTTTAGATAAAAATTAATAGAAGAAAGGAAAGGAAAGGAAGAGGAAGAGAAGGAAAGAAAATGATTAATATTACCTTTATTTGGATAGATAAAAATTAGAGAAGAGTAAAAAATAATATTTTTATTTAATTAAATAATTTTAAAAAAA